AAGTTCGCAAAAATCAGGATTTGGTGGGATCTGAACTAAAACTCCCACACTTATAACCACATCTTTCTCCTATGATCTGGAGAAATTTCAGGATATTACGGATTCCCAATTTGAACTTACGAATTTTAAACGAAGAGCGTGCAGGTAGGCGAAAACGTCCATTTTTATCCCGGCATTTATCAATTTCGCAAAAATCAGGATTTGGGGCGATCTGAAGTAAAACTCTCACACTTGTAGCCCCGTGCTTCTCCTATGATCTGGAGAAACCTTAGGATCTTACAGTTTCCCAATTTCAACTTACGAATTTTAAAGGAAGAGCGTGCAGGTGTGCGAAAACGCCCATTTTTATCCTGGCATTTATTAAGTTCGCAAAAATCAGGATTTGGTGGGATCTGAACTAAAACTCCCACACTTATAACCTCATCTTTCTCCTATGATCGGGAGAAATTTCAGGATGTTACGGGTTCCCAATTTGAACTTGCGAATTTTAAAGGAAGAGCGTGCAGGTGGGCGAAAATGCCCATTTTTATCCCGGCATTTATCAAGTTCGAAAAAATCAGGATTTGGTGTGATCTGAACTAAAACTTCCACACTTATAACCTCATCTTTCTCCTATGATCGGGAGAAATTTCAGGATGTTACGGGTTCCCAATTTGAACTTGCGAATTTTAAAGGAAGAGCGTGCAGGTGGGCGAAAATGCCCATTTTTATCCCGGCATTTATCAAGTTCGAAAAAATCAGGATTTGGTGTGATCTGAACTAAAACTTCCACACTTATAGCCTCCTGTTTCTCCTATGATCTGCAGAAATTTCAAGATGTTACTGGCTCCTAATTTGAACTTACGAATTTTAAAGGAAGAGCGTGCAGGTGGGCGAAAACGTCCATTTTTACCCCGGCATTTATCAAGTTCGCAAAAATCAGGATTTGGTGCGATCTGAACTAAAACGCCCACACTTGTAGCCTCATGTTTCTCCTATGATCTGGAGAAATTTCAGGATGTTACGTCTTCCCAATTTGGACTTACGAATTTTAGAGAAAGAGCGTGCAGGTGGGCGAAAACGTCAATTTTTACCCCAGCATTTATGTAGTCGGCAAAAATCAGAAGCTGTGCGATCTGAACTAAGTTTTCTCCAATCATAAATTCAAGTTTCTCCAATACTTTTAGGAAATTTTACGATGTTACTAGTTCTAAACTCAAACTTTTTATGGAAGAGCGTGCAGTTGGGCCAAAACCTTCATTTTTACCTCGTCATTTATAAAATCCGCAAAAATCAGAATGTTGTGCGATCAGAACTAAAATTCCCGCACTTGTAGCTTCATGCTTTGCCTATGACCTGGGGAAATTTCAGGATGCTACTGCTTTTAAATTGGAACTTACGAATTTTAAAGGAAGAGCGTGCAGTTGGGAGAAAACGTAAATTTTTAGCCCGACATTTATGAATTCCCCAAAAATCAAAATTTCGTGCCATCTGAATGAAATTCTCAGCAATTGCAGACACTAATGTCTTCTATGGGAGCACTAAATCTCACGATGGTAGTGGCTCTAAGTGAGAACTTGTGAATTTTTAAGCAAGAAGGTGCAGTCGGGTGCATCCGTCCACGATTTGTGAAATCCGCCCAAACCAGGGCTCAGTGAGATTTTCTAATAGTCCAAATAGCAGCGAATGGTGGGGTTTTGTTCATTCAGCAGAGGGCTTTAAAACCATACACTTTTAGAGAGTTAAAATTGGCCACAATTGCAACCCAATCAATTGGACCGCAAAAACAAATTCAGTTTCATCTATCAAAACCGTTAATTATTAATGAAGATTACTCACATATTTTACCGGTTGGACCAAAGCCGCAGATAATTAATGAAATAAATTATTCAGTATTTTTCAACAGTGAAAAATGACCAAGTCAGTGTGGTGCTGATCCACGCGATACGCCAATATTTCATTCAATTACAATGCATTAGAGAGACCAATTTATTGCTCCCGAATCAATACCGGTGCGAAGGGCCGATTGAAACAAATTCAATTGCGCTAAATATGAAGGATCTTCATTAATTATCCGCGATAATCTCAAGGAGACGAATGTCTCGTCCAGAGGTCACACTCAATCTGGATGAGGCGTTCCAGGCGACCACGTGGGAATCCCAGCTGGCAATTCGGGCCCTCAAAGCCTGGACTAATGAAACACATCTGTCAGTCGTTAAAGCAGTTGAGTCTGCGGAATGGTTGATTAATTTTCGCGTTATATTTTCAATTTTCATGGAAAATGCGGCCCGCAAGTCGGTCCGGTTGTCGAAGGGACAAATGAGAATTGCCGGCAAACAAATGCGATCGCGTTAATTGAGTTGATTCGAGCAGAGCAAGATTCCTGATTGTGGGGAATTCTCAGGAGGTTTAGTTTATTTGTGCTGCCAAATCTTGCAGATTTTTTCGCTTCTGGAATGCTGCCTATCCGATTGATGCCCACGCAGGGGCGGATGCAGCTTTAACTTCAAGAGGGGGTTATTTAGAAAAAATACAGTCTTCTGTTGTCTATGAGATTGGAAAATTTATCAAGGGTGCAAGGGTGGCGCAAGATTATTGCAAAATTTCATGTTTTCCGTCCTGTTTTGCATGTTTCTCGGAGGCAAAATGGGCAAGAACGCTCGTTTTTACATCATTCCAGAGAGAAAT